TGTGTCGGTTGTTGCCCAAGTTAGAAAGTGGCCACACTGGGGGCGCCCGTAGCATGCCCGAGTCGAGTGAGGCCAATGTGTCCATCAATGGACTTTATTTTGAATGCTCATGTGATTTGATACACTGTTGTTGGCTGTTGGCACAAGTCAGAATCTGGGGGCTCCTGGAATGTGTTTATGTGTTATCAATGTAGCCGATTTGACTGCAATTGAACTTGTTGAGAATTTAGATAATTTGAGGTGTCGCAACTTAGCACCTGGCCTGACACCTGAAAATGCAGGGCCAAACTAATTCCGGGCACACTAAATAATCTTAGTTTTGAATTTCATATAATTTGATGTGCCGCATGAAGTGTTTTTCATTAAGTGACATTCTGGCCACTTCCTCATCTATAGGTATATAACAGGAATTCATTCTACTTGGCCCAAGTTGCGAGATTGAAGAAGGAGCCACCCACAGGCAGATGGACTTTCTGTGCGCGAATATTGCGAATCAAGTTCCTGTCCAAATACAGCTGAGAAAATTAACCGAAACCTAGTGATCAATCGTAACCACCCGTTCCTCATTACTTATGCGCTTGTTTTTCTTCCGCTGCGCATAGATAAACGGGCAAGTTTCACAGCCACCATATCTGAGAATGAATAATTCAAAATTATTATTTGTTATTTAATACAATCACATTTTGTTGCTGGACATCACGACTGACATTTAAAAATGGTCTAAAATGTTGATTTTTCATAATTATTATCTTTTAAATTCGCATTAACTTAAGAACGGCTAGACTTAGGATAAAAAGTTCATAAATACAAATTTATAAAAAAAATATGCGTTAATCTAAATAAATTATTATTTTACAAAGAAATGTGCAATTTCGTTATATTTTGAAGATCAATAAAAATTTAAAAAAATATAGAATTTTTTTGGAGCAAGATAGCTTACATTTTTTTATAAAATTGTTGGCTTTTTTACAAAAAAAATATATAAAAAATTGAAGAGGGTGTTTTAAGAAAATCACCATTTTATGTTTAACTATGGATTTACATAGGTTTTTTATTCAATGTATTTTTTTTCTCAAAGAACAATTAATTACCTACAGCTTCTTCTCAGTTGTCATTTGTTATAATCAACTTTATGAATATGCCTTTTTATAAAGTTACTCTAGAGAGAAACAAATCATGCATAAATAAAAATGCAACCATTGGTAGCAGCGAACGTATGAGTAATCTAAAACACTCATGTCCAACCGGTTTGCGTTTTGGGCTGAAATGCTCTAATGTTTCACGGAAAGCGTAGTTATCATTTTATGGACCACCCACAACCGTTTTTCATTGAAGATTTGCAAAATTTGCACTGTATGTACAGTTTTACGCTTCTATCAAATTTGTTACATACGACGATTGATACCTTCTTAAAGTTAGGTGAATGTAACATTGAGCTATGTTTTGATCAGTTGGCACATACATTATAGTTTTTTATGAGAAAATTAAACAGAGCGGGTTCAAATTTTGCCTTAAGGAAAAGTTAGCAGAGTAGTTTCTGGTAGCATTAAAATGTCAATTTGTTTACGTTTATTACATACGATCAATTCAAAACACATTCCAGACTTATCGTCTTCGCGTTCAGACTCGTATCCCTCCGAAAAATATTAACACCCCTCACATCCATTCCATCCCCTGATCCATTCCAATCTTTTTTTTCTATCCCTGCCCTATTTTCGTCAAGACGACACACTCAAAAAAATCCCTTAAACTATGTTTTCCCAGATAATCCCAAGTAATGATTAGAGTGAAAAATACATCCAAATGAGTGTTGTTCCCCTTGATTACATCCTATTTAGCTATTACATATCAAAGACCTCAAAGCCAGGCAGAAGAAGACAGGTAGCTAGTGTGACCTTTTCTTCTTCTTCTTCTTCCTCTTCTTCTTCTTCTTCTTCTTATTCTTCTTCTTCCTGGCTTTAACGCTCTTAGATGAGCTTTCGTCTGATCTCAGCTTAGTGTTTTTTTCAAACACTTTCACTTCTTCTTCTTCTGTACCATTTCTGCATTAGTATAAGTGTGTGGCAATTACAATCATACTCTAATGAACTCCGAAGTTGAGAAATTTTCCATCCCGAAAAGTTCCTGGACCGGACCGAGAATCGAACCCAGCCACCTTGAGCATGGTTTTTCTTTGTAGATACGTCTTTACTGACTGAGGTAAGAGAGGAAACACTTCCACAGTTATTAATTAAAAGATCTTCTATGCCATCCAATACATGAATTTGTATATTTTGTGGCCAGCACAATGATACTAATGCAGAGAAAATTTCAAACACGAAAAATTTTCTAGACAGGACTGGGAATCGAACTCGCCACCTCTGGCTTGGCTCCTAGGATTATAACTTTTATTTATATTTATGCAACAAATTGTAAAATGAAGATTTTTTTCTGCACGAGTTGTACATTTATTTGTTTTTATTTATTTATTTATCACCGTATTCGATTAGTCGTACAAACTGAACTTTTCTACTTATAAACTAGAGATTAATACTAAACTTATTTCTAAGAAACTGTTTTAGTCAAGTTCGACAACATTGAACAAGCGAAGACACGAATCGAAAGGGTTGTTGTAGCCGTAGTTTGTTCTGCGGTATGGGATTGCTATTAAAGCTGAGTTCCAAAATCGTCTGGGAGGAATGTTAAGCGGAATCTGTAAAGTTCAAGGCAGTCGATAGATCCTCCAAAATCATCGAAGACAAATAGCCGCTGCATCGTTAGTCGTCTGACAGATAGTGGCTCCAATCCTATGAGCTTGCATCGGTCGGGATAAGGAGGAAGATTGGTCGGATCATCCCAGTGAAGTTGTCCCAGTGTAAAACGTAAGAACCGTGTCTGTACCCGTTCTATCATGAAAACATGAGCTACATAATAAGGGGACGAAATCGGAGCTGCGTACTCCAGAATGCTATGAACCAACGAGCAGTAGAGCGTTTTTAAAACATGGATGTCGGTGAACTCAGAAGCGTGGCGACAGATGAATCCCAACACCATAAAAGCATAGTATCAATGTCTTCTTGTTTGGCAGTACATTCCAGAAGAAAAGCTATGACATGATAGATGTTTAGGTCATCAGCGAATGAAAGCTTGAACGAGGAAAGTAGCAAACACAGGTCATTGATAAAAATGTTGAATATAAGTGGTCCCAGAACGCTTCTTTGAGGTACACCAGACGTGGTGATGTTGATAGTGCGGGATGGAACCGAGTTGACCGTAACATATGCGGTACGAATATATCCACTCTTTAATTCAATCTGGAAAACCTATGTGCTTCAGTTTCTCCCCGACTGGAATGTGCGGTACAGTGTCGAAGGCTTTCGCAAAGTAAACATACGCCGCGGCAACTTGCCACCTCTATTCTACTTCGCGGGACAGTGCGGTGACGTAAAACTACAATGTTGCTGTAGACCGATGCTTAATAAAGCCATACTGACCATCAAAGATGATGGAAGACGCCACTTTGTATAGACCGTTGTACACCAGTCTTTCAAACACTTTACTGATACAGCAAAGTATAGATACGCCGCGATAATTTGTCATCTGATTACATTCGCCAGGCTTTGCTAGACAGTAACGATGTAAACAACTTTCCAAGCCGTCGTCGGAAAAGTTCTTTCATAAATCAATCGGTTGAATAAGCAGGCAATTCGATTCGCTAGCTCTCTGGAACAGTTTTTCAGAAATAGGAGTCGTATACCGTCCGTCCCAGGTCATTTTTTGATGCCAAGGCCGTGCATTGGTACAAGTGACACATTGCTGGGCATCATTAAAGCTTGTCGTTTCTTCGTGTAATCCCAGAAGCACGATGGGTTCTGTTTTACGCTGTGAGGGTCCTGAATAAGTAGTTATCATAGATGGATAATAGAACTGTTTTGTACTGCAGCTCTACTTCGCGAAGGTAATCACGGTCGTTCTCAGACTTGGAAAGGAAGAAACGGTGACGTGCTTTCCTTAGGATGTTACGAAGATGTCGTAGTTCGGAATTCCTCCATGGCTTACTGGAAACTGAATATAACAATCGTCTTTTCCGAGGAACATAGTCCTTGCACATTACTTGCCTTTTCTGACCCAAAGGTGTACTTGTTGACCGAAGATCGTGTATCCGAAAAAATAAAAGAGTGAACTATATTGTTAATACAGTATATTTGGTCTAACTCAAATTTGAAATAAATTGTCATGGCTCTACTCGCGTAGACATATGACAAAATCTATCATTTGGTAAAAACTGTTAAAAATTGAATATTAAGATAGGGCCAATTAGGGTTCACATAACCTATCTTGAAGTATAATTTCTTCCATTTTCTCATACGAACGCTATGAGACAGGTACAATCGCGTCACCCTGCGCTCAAATGTAAATGCTTCGAACGAATTTGATAGCAAAGATTACATCCTCAGAAGAAGGGTTTGAGTATTTGCTCATTTTCTATGCGTTGCTTTCACCTTCACTCAAGCACAGCGCCATTGTATATGTCGCTTAGATTCTGACAAAGTTGCCAGTCATCTTGATTTGTTGTCTTCGTCTTTAGTCTGAACATAGCATAACTATCACTCGAACTACCACTAAAAATACATTTTTTCTTCTTCTCAAATATTTGCACCACACTCAAAAATGTATTGTTTCTTTTCGTATTTTTCATTGTTATACCAACAGCAATGACATAGTTTTTGACCAGGGTTGTTAATCCATAACCGTCGATAACGGTAGCGTTAAAGCCTGCAATGAAAATTTCCATTGTAGACGTTATCGACGGTTATCGATAAACAACCTTGTTCCTGACGTCGGTAGAAAACGACCGATATGAAATGCGATAATTATTGATCCTAAAATTCTTACATAGAACACACAGATGAATGACAGTAGTATACAGAAGGCTATAATGCTATAATGACCAATAGGATTAATGGTGGTTAATCAATACGTATTAATTATGTAAAATCTAAATATCGTTCTTCCTACAGTCCCCTATAGAGTTGAACCGTACGCATATGATGCTACCACCAACGGCCATTTCCACTCCACCAGTAATCGAGCGGGACTCCAACGGAAAACCCATTCGGCGAGGTTATGTTCCAGTAGAAGAAAAAATTCAGAAGGAACTTCGTGACTTAAAGAACCGAGAATCCGAACTTAAGCGATTACGCAAACAACACCGAGTCGCTTCACAGTCCGATCTTCTAGAGCTGAAATACGACAGGTAACATTTTTCATTTAGTACTACATGTCAAGAAATCTTACTTAAAGTACTTATTTTTCCATTTCAGCGATTCCTGTGGCGATCTTTCCGATGAAGATACCATTGACATGACTGTGTATCCGTCATCCAGAAAATTGCGATCCACCAAATCAATTGGTGAGCTTTGTGAAGCACTAACACATTCTAGTCTTTCTCCAAGGTAACATATTTATTATATATTATATATTTAACACAGCTAATTAATCATTTATTTTTCTATCTATTTTGTTAGGGAAACACCATCGCCACAGTTTGAAAATCGTCAACGTGGTATGCGTCCGGCCATGTCATTAGCCCAATTGTGTGATCTTGACCCGCAAGAGACACCATCTTCCCATAAGCTGATAGCGAAATGGGAGACTCTTATTCAGCAGAAACAGCAACGATAGACTATTGAAAGTGGTATTTCTTTAGTTAGATACTTTAAATGATAAAGTAGCCACATTATTAGGGTACTGTTGTTCAAAATGAAGGTTAGAATTGAAAATTTATTATAAAAAAGGCTGTATTTATTTTGTTGGATAGTGTTAACTTGCTTTGCTGGGGAAATATCACAATTTGGGCCAGAAAACTTTTTTTTTGCTAAGGTACACTGGGAAAAGTGGGATCATCGTCATGAACATTTAAAAAAAATCTGGAAAATCCATAATCATTCCGTAAGAGGAAATGGGACGAAAATCATTTTTCAAAATTTTAAAAGAAGTTTTGTCGTTTAAAACTTAAATTCTGTTAATAAAAATGTGTTCACTATGTTCCGTTTGGCAAGTAGAATACAGTGCACACATTTTCATGGACTGAACTTTGGGGTTGAATGAATAAACAGCTATTGATGTTTTTTAATGTTCTGCATTTTTATGATAAATAACAAAGGATACGGTGAAAAAAAATTCAAGCAACGATTACCATACTGTTCTTCAATTTGAGCCCGAATTGAAAATGAACCATCAGCAGCACTTGGAATGCCATGAGATTATGCACACAATTGTTTTCGTTTAAAAATACGCTAGGGGAAGTGCACTAGCTAGGGCACTACTCAAAATGTGTAGGACTAGTTATGGCAAGTACATGGGTTTTTAAAAGGAATATTGAAGATAAACATGAAGAATTGAGACAATAAACCCAATTTATACACGACTCAATTGTAAACTGACCCTAAACATCTAACTGAATGGGACTTTATTTATTTCTCTAAAAACGCAACTGTCTAGAACTTTCAAAAATAAGTTTTCGACAAAGGTCAAACCGATACTACAATAACTGCAAATCACATTGTCATTTAAATTTAAACCTATTTTGCAAATTTTTATTCACTGTCTTTTTGCTGGGACTTCGAAACAATTCAATTCGTACCAAAAGATTCAAATTTGACAAACGTATTCCTTGTTTAGCGAGCACACAAATTTAGAATCGATTTCTTGAATCCCAATTCACCCAGTGTTCCTGATAAATATTTTCAATAAATCATAAAAATCTATAAAAATCGTATGAAAATTTACTTATCAAATATGCTTTCAATTTTCGTGCTTGTATACTTTATACTTTGATTTAGATCCCTCATTTTAGCTATTTCCAAACAATTTATTTTCTTATTATAAATGTATTTGCTAAGATTTATTGAACAAGAAAGTGAGAGCATAGGTATTTACACCAGATTGTAAAAAAATGTGAAATAATTAGCTACTAAGATGCCAATCTATTTATGATGTTATAGTTTAGTTACGACTTACAAGAGCGCAGTACACATACTTCGCAAATTATTTTTTGAATTTACATTTAGATATCAAATATTGGCGTCAGTTGATAATCTGGTAGTAATCAACAACGTAATCGTGTATCGTTATGCTTGATCCGAAATTACCCTAACAGATTTGACCAAATATAAACCGTGTATAGAAAAGACTTCAGTGTATGTCAGTCATCTCACAAGTTCCGTATTTTATATATACTCCCTCTCTACCCAAGTAGCTACCTTATGTCCATATTTCCTTAAGTCCATTTTTATCTCACAAAGAATAGTACCTGAAAATGCTCGCGAAAATATTGATATTGCGCATTGAACAAATTATAAGTGTGATTAAAAAGTTAAAAGTGCAGAATCGCAAATAAAAGTATGAACGTTTTTACGTTAAACCTATTGGTGTCTTCGGCGCACTTATGATTCATAATGAAAAAGTCCGCAGAAAACACCAAGACGATAAAACGTCAAAGCGCACTTCTATTAGCGATCCCGCACTTTTGAGGAGTCCAGTTTCAACTGCAAAATACAATAATGAAACCCAAATAACTCACCCTGGTTGTTACCCAGTCATGCTACGCCACTTCCCTTTGAAATCCTATCTCAGATATCTGCAAGAACTCCCACCGTGGCAATACTAGGTTTTTAAAACTTTCTGTGTTCGGAAAATTAATACATTTTAATGAAAAGTCCAAATATGGCCGTCATGATGATTCATATGCCCTTCACTAAATCACAAATCTAGAAGACTGCATATTGTACTATGGGGATCCAGGTATCCAATAAGAAGAAGGCTGACTATCTCCCCTTCGTGATTCGCGTTCCTTCATCGAAAGTAGTGTGTTACGATCCAAATTTGGTAAATTGATTTAATTTTTTATTAAACAAATTAAATTATTTTTCTTTTTTAAGTTCAATTCGTATAAAATACAGAAAACAATATTCAGCTAAGCTTCCGGTTGACCGAATCCGCTTTCGTTTAACTCCTGCGATCAGATCCTGTAGCCACCTCGTCCACTTTGTTCGCCGCTGAACGCCAGTTTGTCTTAAACTGCTTCTCGCTTGCAACAGTTTTTTGGGCCTTCTTCAAGTTCCGTTGACGATGGCCCAATATTTTTCAATTGGGTGGAGCGCTGGCGTTTAGGGAGGGTTCTCGACCTTGGGCACCACCTGCACGTTGTTTACGGTATATTACCCAATGGCCTTTTTCCGTAATGGCAGAAAGCCAAATCCAGCCAAAAACAGCAGGAAAGGAAAGGCTGCAGACGTTTTTTCAGACACTCGTTCAAGTAAATTTCCTCGTTGACGGTCCCGGTTGCAATGAAAATATCGCTTTCCAAGCCACAGGTACAGATAGCCTGCCAAACCATATATTTATTAGCGAACATCGACAGTTGCATATGCTTGAAAAGGTCTGCCACCTGCCCAGGAAGCTATTTGAATTCTGCCTTGACGTTGTTCGGATTTTCGATGCGCGTGCAAAATTTTGATGCGTTGCTCCTCTTTCTTGCACGGTTAGAAAAAAGTACCCAAAATTAAGTTCTTTTCACTCATCTCGGCACTATAGTGCAGGAACCCAAAAGTAGGTAAAGCGGGTCAAAGTAATTTTCATTTAGTTATGTGCAGTTCGTATGGAAGTTTCCACTGGCTTTTTAACCAAAAGTAAGATAGTTGTATCCAACAGTAGGTAAATATGATTATACTCAACGTTGGGTTCTCATGCTTTACTATCGATTTGCTTGGGACCAATAGGCTAGTTAAGTAGTGAACCAATTTAAAATCGTTAGTTTCGTATTGATTATTGCTGGTACTGATATGATCCAACCCGCTTTTCTGCTGCTAGTGCGCGCTTGTTTGGTACAAGCGCTACTCGCATATGTCAATTAACAGGGTATGGCCAACAATCAACACGAAACTAACGATTTTAAATTGGCTCACTACTTGACTAGCAAGCAAATCGACTAACGTACCCCATTTAAGTATAAATTCCAGTACAACACTATGTTTGTTTTGATTCGCTATGAAAGTTTGACAGATAAAATGAGGGGTTAGTGGATTTTCCTATGTTTCGAGGGGTGAATCGATTAGCTTGGGACCGAAGATAGTACCAGACAGGGGCCTGGCTGGCGGTCATGTTTTTGATGCTATCATCTGCTCTTGTCTTTCTGCTTACAACACGATTTTCCGTCCCGTTCCACCATGTATACGTCAGGCGGGCCGTATTTAAATAAAGCCCGTGATCTTGCCTACTGTCAAACGTATAGGATTGATATGGGGTTGCCAGTCTCCTGGTACCAGAGCTTAGCCAAAAAGTTGAGCTCGTTTCTTCGGAACCTTCTGGTCTTAAAGATACCTCTATGGTACGGCCAGGGGGTGGAAACTAACGATTTTAAATTGATTCACTGCTTGAGTAGCCTATTGGTCCCAAGCAAACGATTACCGTACCCTATTCTAGTTGAAATTCTATCACTACACTATGTTTGTTTTGATTCGCTATGAAAGTTTGACAGATAACATCAGGGGTGTGTGGATTCATGCAGAACATGCAGGGGTGAGTGAAATAGCTTGGGACTGCTTGGGACCGTTCTGGTACTGAGTGAGCCAAAAATAATAATGATTTTCTTCGGGACCCAGTGGTCTTAGAGTTACCTCTATGGTACGGCCATAGAGGTAACTCTAAGGCTAGAAGGTCCCGAAATAACGTGCTCAACTTTTTGGCTCAGCTCTGGAACTCTCTTCGGTCCCAAGCTAATCGATTCACTCCTCGAAACATAGGAAAAACCAATAACCCCTCATTTTATCATTTTATCGAAACTAGCGATTTTAAATTGGCTCACTACTTGACTAGCCTATTGGTCCCAAGCAAACGATTAACGTACCCCATTCTTGTCAAAATTCTAGTACTACGCAATGTTTGTTTTGATTCGCTATGAAAGTTTGACAGATAAAATGAGGGGTTATTGGTTTTTCCTATGTTTCGAGGGGTGAATCGATTAGCTTGGGACCGAAGAGAGTACCAGAGTTTCTTCGGGACCTTCTAGTCTTAGAGTTACCTCTATGGTTTTAGCGTGACTTTCTACCAGCGATTTCACAAAACTGGACCAACTAATTTCTATTTTTCTATCAAACGCACAAATTTTGCGTACATTTCTCGTGGTTCTAGAAGAAAAAGTCTCAAATGGTAGAGTTGGTTGGAAATGCTAACATGAATCTTTAGTGTGATAATTTATTAGCTAGAGAATGATCTTTTAGAAGAGGGTAGGTGGATAGTTCCGTTAGAGTACAGCAGTATGAAAATTGAATAGAAGTTGAAAATGAGCGAAGGGCCATTAATGCGACAGTTTTTAAAGATAGACGCATATATTTTGCCTAACCCGTACGATGTACGCGGAGACTTGAAGTATGTCTCCAAGTCTACTGGCGAAAAATGTGCGTCCCTCTTTTGCTCATAAACTGACTGCGGCTGTGGAATAGCTCTAGCGACGTTTTCATCACTACCTTAAGCCCCACGTTGCGAGAGCATTTCCAGTCGATGGTGTGTTATAATGCAATTCTTCTTTACCCAAATGTACTTTTAATGTAACAACTCAAGGCGGGAGTAACCGTCAACAATGCTGATGATGGTACAGCACGCAACAACCACCCTACTGCCTTCTCTCTGAGATGACCAAGTTGGTCATGACGAGAGGAGCAACACAATAGTTGAGTAAAGAAGAATTGCATTATAACACACCATCGACTGGAAATGCTCTCGCAACGTGGGACTTTAGGTAGTGATGAAAACGTCGCTAGAACTATTCCACAGCCGCAGTCAGTTTATGAGCAAAAGAGGGACGCACATTTTTTGCCTGTAGACTTGGAGACATACTTCAAGTCTCCGCGTAAAAGATCATTATCTAGCTAATAAATTATCACACTAAAGCTTCATGTTAGCATTTCCAACCAACTCTGAAAATCGCTAACTTCGCGTATGAAGTAACATAAAAACACTTTGAACTCAAATGGTAGTAAACGTCATTTAACTGCTCGAATGAAGTGGTTAATTGTAGGTACGAATAAATCGCGATACTATCAGTACTATCGCAAAAAACTGCAAGATTTTAATATATCTGGCAACTTTTAACCGTTGATATTATGGTACTGCATCAAATAGGAAGGACTAAATCGACTATTAGTTCAAAGTCCATCCCATCGAAGTTGCTTGATTCTTTCTTCAATTTTAAAAATATTTTCTCTAGTATTTTAAAAACAATTTAACCCATTTTTTTTAAATACTGCGTAATGGACATTTAAACTTTTTGGACACACAATACTTTTCATAACTTTTGGATGATTTTAGCAATGCTAACAAGTCATTTGATTCAAATAATTTATTTAAACATGTCATTCATAAACATTCTGGTACTTTGAATAAATTTCAGATGATCATACTGACCGATTTTTACGGGAGATTGGAACATCGCTTTGATTTCAATAGCATTATGTTAAAAGCAGGATTTTTTGGAGCATTCCAATTTTTTCCAGACTTTATATTTTAACTGGTTCAGATTTTTATGAAAATAACCAGGCAACGCTGCCTGTTAGGGCCCATGCATTAATTATGTCACGCTAAATCAAGGAAAAACTATCCCCCCTCCCTCTATCGTCACGTTTTTCCTATACCTAATGCATTGCTTGTCACAAAATCTTACACACTTAATCAAGCTCGGTAAAATCTCCAACAGCCGATTACCTCGGCATTCACTTTTGCTGATATCTCTTCAAAATATCTGTTTGTTAGCTGATATCTCAGCAAAATGTTATTTGTTAGCTGAGTCTCGGCAATTGTTTTACTGAATCTCAGCAAAATAAATTGCAGAACTGCTCGGCTGTTGGAATCTCGGCGAAATTTTTTAAGTGTGTAGACCCCCCTCCCCCTTAGAGCGTGACATAATATATGCATCAACCCTTATGTTGAATCACCAAGTCATTCGATTTAAACAAAAAATAAACAAGTTTCACTCAATTAACTAATGGAAGCCAGTAGTTATATATAGGCAACCATCTACCTTGAAAGTCCTTTGTAATTATGGATCTGAGAATCACAGAATTGCCGTAAATTAGCAAAATTTTACTGGATTTTGCCGAGCTGGAAATCTAGCAATCCTTCCAGTAA